TGAGGCTATGATGAAATAAATAAATGAAAAAAGTGCGACTGCTGAGAGTGCAAGCAGCTAGGGACACCGGCCCTCGCGGCCAAAAAACTTTCCCGGTGCTCCCGATTAGCCAATCCGGGCCTGTGTAACAGGTATAGAAATAATAGTTCACTTTATTTATAGAATTACACAAAATGTGTGTTTTACCTGAAGTGTTTATTAAGTATACCTGCTCCTTTAAATTTCTAAGAAAGCTTAAGTTTTTTAATTTCCTGTTCTGCACCCGCCTCCTCCTTTTCTGTACTGACTGCACATGGGAGAGGTGGGTGTCTGCAGCTCTAATTAATCTTAAATCATATTTACTTGACTTTTGAAGCCAGTTTTTATATTTCAATATTATGTATAACTTTCTTTTTCACATATTTCACATAGTTCGTTATTTTTGTGTTTTCACTTTAATTGAGGTTTTGATTTATATTTGTCTGATTGAAGCATGTAAAAGTGATGAGGGCGAAGACACACTGTAAAATCTGTGCTTTTGTTTACATCAGGAGTGATTAAAGAGCCGTCACAACTGCTGATACCTGTCTGGTTATTCCCACAATAAAAAGAAAACACAATGCAGAACCCTTGATGGAGCTGCCAAATATCAGATGATGGGTTCAAAGTAACAATGTGTAAATTATGTTTAAAGTGAAATTCATTCAATCATTCATTTTCATTTCGGCTTAGTCGCTTTATTAATCGGGGGTCACCACAGCGGAATGAACCGCCAGTTTTTCCAGCATATGTTTTACGCAGAGGATGCCCTCCCATGTTGCAACCCATTACTGGAAAACACCCATACACTACAGACAATTTAGCTTACCCAATTCACCTATACCGCATGTCTTTGGACTTGTGGGGTAAACCAGACCAACCAGTGAAAACCCACACCAACACGGAGAGAACTAAAGTGAAATTCTTCTATAATTTTTTAAAATACCACCCGATATTGATAGACCACACTTATGAGTTAGTAACCACAGCAAAACATATTTCTGTCTAAAACATCGTCTTTTCAAAATATACTCATTTCTGTTTACAAATAAAATGTCTAGTCTACAAATAAACTTTTATTCATTCATTTATTTTCTTTTCAGCTTAGTCCCGTTGGTTTACCACAGCGGAATGAACCCCCAACTTATCCAGCACGTTTTTAGCAGATGCCCTTCCAGCTGCAACCCATCACTCGAAAAAAATTAACTTTTAGTTATTTCTAATTATTAACACACAGCCATGTCACTCATCTCAAAACCTTTATTACTTCTTTTTACTGTTAGAAAGATATATCAGAGTAAAAACAACTAGTGTAAAAGTCTGCGTCTCTCTGTGTCGCTCAGGCTGCACTGCAGTGTCTATTCTCAGGTGTGATCCCACTACTGATCAGCACGGGGGATTTGACCTGCTCCGTCGCCGACCTGGGCCGGTTCACCCCTCCTTAAACAACCTGGTAGTCCCGAGCTCCCTCAGGAGAACCATATTGATACCGAACTTAACGCGGACACCCGATCAACATAGTCCACTGCAGCCCAGAAGCCCTGAGCTCAAGCGATCCTCAGTCTCAGCTTCCCAGTAGCTTGGATTACAGGCGCGCGCCACTGAACCCGGCAAGAGTTGAGAGAATCAGAGCTGTGGAGAATCTGATCATCACAGCGACCTCTAGTGGAGGAAAACTGAATGATGAATAATAACTGACTTCATAGCCTTATGACATTAGATAATAATAAACAGCAGTATGATCACAAATAAAAAAATTACAGTAATTAGTATCAACATAGTATTTTTGAACTAAAGATTATTATACCATATTTATTAGCCTTTACAACTCATTTTATGAGTGCCACAACATTCTGTTTTCTGTATCAACTGATAAATTGTAATAAATACTGTAGTATACTTTAGTTTTTTTTTTTTTAAATTAAAAGTGGTTTATTGTATCATAATACATATAGCTGTAAAAAACATATTACAGAATGGGTGATTTGTTTATATTAGGTGTGCATCTGCATAAAACATTACAAACAATCTACGAGCAGAGAAAAATACATTAAAAATGTTGAAATAAAAAGAAACCGAGCTTTGTTGTTTTTTAACGAGTCTAACAGTATTCAGGTACAGTAATGTAATAATCAAATGTACAATAATACTGCTATTGTCTTCATTTTTTTAATTAAATAAAATTATTTGCAATTAAAATTACAAATGATGCAATTTATTAGACCTGAAGCTTTTACAGTCGCAGGCCTCAGAAACACACGCAAATGCTAAATTATAATCCAGACTCAACCTTGTATTTCTTGTGATGTGACTATTGTGAATGATCATTGATGCTGAAATAATGCTCTGGGATAATTTATGTGAGCTAAGGGATAATTGACCTAAAAATGTTAATTCATAATCGTCACAATCATATTTATGCGGTGAACTATCTATTTAAGATTGTGCAAACAGTGAACCTCTGTAAAAGTAAAGCTTTAATGTTTTAATTTTCCACTTAAATACCAGTTCCTCATCTAACATTCATTCATGCAGTGAATAACTATCATTAACTGAGTTACATATTTATTATTCAGTTTACTCTTACTCATCTACTAACTGTGGTGTCAGATGCGGTTTTGACCTCCATCAGTGTTTTTAACATCTATAAGACTCGACAGAATCTCACACAATCTGTGGCATAAATTGATAGACTGTTTCAGCTTTAGCAGCACATCATGCTGAATTACTGATCCTGAGCTGAACATTGTTTATACAAGTACCACAAGTTATTTATTCTGGTCTAAAGACTAAAAAGCTGTTTAATATTAAAGATAAAAGGTAAACTAAAACCACTTTGTCCTCTCTGACACTAAATATGTTTTAGCTGTTTTATGATTAAAAAATTATGTTTGTGATTATTAATCTGCAACCAACAACCTGCAGTATTTTATAATATGGTGGCCTTTAGCGTCATTGTGCAATATATGAACTGTGGATTACACTAGAGGCCACATCTGCATCTGACACCATATTTAGTGACTGAAAAAGTGTTGATTCAATTAGTGAATGAATGAATGAATAAATGAGATACTCACTGAATGAGTGAATGTTAGTCGCTGAACTGCTTTTCTGTTGTCATTTAAAAGCTTTTCATTTCCTGATGAACTGTGGCCTATTTGACGAGATGTTTTGCTGTTAAATGGCAAATCATAAATAATTTAGTTATGAAAATATTGTTTCTATATGTATTAATCATTATATATATAATATATATGAGTCACTGGGCGTTGCAGGCACTGTTATTCAATGGTTCAGATCTTACCTCTCTGACAGGTCATTCAGCGTGTCTTGGAGGGGAAAGGTGTCCAACCTACAGCATCTAAACACTGGGGTACCTCAAGGCTCTGTTCTTGGGCCACTTCTCTTCTCCATCTACACGACATCTCTAGGACCAGTCATTCAGAAACATGGATTCTCCTACTACTGCTATGCTGATGATACCCAACTACCTCTTTTTTCACCCTGATGATCCCTCGGTTCCAGCTCGCATCTCAGCCTGCCTGTCGGACATTTCACACTGGATGAAAGATCATCATCTTCAGCTTAACCTCACGAAAACAGAAATGCTTGAAGTTTCTTCCAACCCGACTCTGCACCACAGTTGCCTTTAAATAGCACAACATTGTGATTAACTATTCAGTACAATAAACTTTACTATGTGGTTCTAAAATACTATAGTATTTAGTTTAAATAACTATATTTTATTTGGGACCGTACTGCTGTTTATTTTTATCCAAACAGTGCCATAAGACCAATAAAAAGTCAACTTTACTTCATCATTCATCGTTTCCTCCACTAGAGGTCGCTGTGATGATCAGATTCTCCACAGCTCTGATTCTCTCAGCTCTTGCCGGATTCAGTGGCGCGCGCCTGTAATCCAAGCTACTGGGAGGCTGAGGCTGCGGATCGCTTGAGCTCAGGGCTTCTGGGCTGCAGTGGACTATGTTGATCGGGTGTCCACACTAAGTTCGGTATCGATATGGTGCTCCTGGGGGAGCTTGGGACCACCAGGTCGTGTAATGAGGGGTGAACCGGCCCAGGTCGGCGACGGAGCAGGTCAAATCCCCCGTGCTGATCAGTAGTGGGATCACACCTGAGAATAGACACTGCAGTGCAGCCTGAGCGACACAGAGAGACGCAGACTTTTTCTTCCAGGAGCACTTACACATACAAAATAAAAGAGGAGAAATACTAATTAATCTCTTTCCCTAATTTTTTATTGTTCTGACCATTCTAGATTTATAGGGTCATCATAACTGCATTATAACAGGCTTCATCAGGCAGTAAATCTTTTGGACTCCTAAAATGTTCTTTTGATTATCAGAAACAATAAATATCACACACTTCTGATCACTTCTACATTCACTGTAATCCACTGCCACAATCACACACACACACACACACACACACACACACACACACACACACACACACACACACACACACACACACACACACACACATTGCTGTATAATAAAGCTTTGAACTAGGCTTTATTGCGTTTGAAACGCATCAGGAAATGATGAGATTAGAGAGTTTTAAATCATTTTTAACACACGGAAATAAACTTTTGTAGAAAATAAATTTGAAGGTGGCTTTAAAAAAAGTGTTAAATTACTTTAAAAACGAAAAAACAAATCGCCAATAGGTGGCAGCAAGAGACCGCTTTAATCGAGTGAAGCTTTGAGTGATTCATTCAGCCACGAATCCCTGATTCATTGACTCGCCCGACTCTTTACAAAGGCCAGAATCATTCGTGTAAGGAAACGCAGCTGTGTTTTATTCAGAGATGTCCAACTGTTCTGCTGTTTATTTTATTATTATCATAGTAATGATTTCACTATTATTTATGAGAAAATAACGCGGAAGTTTTTCAGCGCCTCGTCACGTGATCGTCAGCATCCATGGCAACGGTTCTTTTTGTGTTGTTTTGAACTCCGCTCTGTCATTGGCATCTGATCTCGGCGTCCTTCGTGGCAACTGATTCCCAGATTATTGATATTATTGATTGTTGGATACATCGATTGATCGTCTGCTTCTCCCATCATTCAGGTTTGACCCTTGTTATCACACTGTGGTTTGTATTCAGTATGTCTTGTGTTCATTACAGGTTTCAGAGTCGACTCACCTACGACTCGCTCCAGTTTGAGGGCCTCAACATCACTGTGGGAGAGCTGAAGCGGCAGATCATGAGGCGCGAGAGGCTGAAGTTCTGCCAGCTGAAGATCAGCAAAGCCCAAACTGATGAAGGTGAGATGAGGAAAAGCCACTTAAACTATACTACACTAACATTAGATGTGTTATCAGACAGACTTGTAGAAGCTGACATGTGTTATCATGACTCTGATGGTGACATATAGTGATGTTTTGAGTGTTTTAAAATGCTAATGGCACTCAAAGTATACCATGGTAAATGATTATTACTATATTCAAACTTTATTTTGCTGTCAGAATACACAGATGATGATGCTCTCATCCCTAAAAACACATCGGTCATCATCAGACGGGTCCCTGCGGCTGGACTGAAGTCCTCCAACAGAAGATTTGTTGGGTAAGTCATGTGAAATGAGCGCAATCGTCCTCTGATAGATGTTATATCAAGAGTTTGAGTCTGTCTGTGGTGTTTTGGTCACACAAGCTCCTTTGTTTTGTTTTGCAGACATCAAGCTGGACCATCAGCTAAATCTTCTCAAACAGGTGATTCTTCACTCCTCTCACTGGAGCAGCTGTTGAAGGTATTGAACAAATGATTAATTCACCCCACTGTGCTGCTCTGTATTGAACTGCAGTGTTTGCATTTGAGGCGTCATAATGACATGTTGTGCAGAATATCAATACACAGTGTTTAGCAAACAACAATACACACAAACACACAAACACACACAGCTTCTTAGGGAGATTTGAGGGTGTTTATTTAGAGCAAATCAGTGAAATAAAATTCTAATGTGCAAATGCCTGTGAAACAGACTGAGAATCTGGCTGAGGCAAAGGCATCAGAGGAGGACAAGCTAAAAGCGGTGATGTACCAGTCCAGTCTGTGCTACTACTCCAGCAGGTGAGCGTTCAGACACTGACAGGTTTGGTTTGTGAGAAATGTTAGAGCTGATTCTCATGGTTCTGATGTTCATCAGTGAGGCCATGACACTGCTTGGGCTTCTTCCACCCAACTATGTCTGCTTTCACTGTGGGATCCCAGGACACCACATTAGGCACTGCCCCTCTAAAGGGGTAACTGGGTTTTCTAAGCTTATGGTTGCTGTGAACTTGAGCTCTTGTCTCCATCAGTCAGATTGTTTGCTCTGTAGTTTGACTGTCACTCATGAATTCACAGGGCAGCAGCTCTGCTCCGCTTAAGCGCATCCGGAGGAGCACAGGGATTCCCCGCAGCTTCCTGTTGGAGGTGGACGACCCAAACCGAAAGGGAGTCATGATGGACGGCAGCCGCAAATACGTCATTCCCATCATAGACGCGTGAGTAAACTGTACTTGGCATTGCAGCATGTTCTATTGTTTGTGAAAATCTCACATTATGTCTGCTTGTGTGTGTTTGCGCTCGATCTGTTCAGTGAGGCCTATGCTGCTGAGAAGAAAAAGAGGCCGTCCTTCTCCTGCCAGACCAAGCCACTATCCTCCTCTTCCTCAGCTGGTGCAGCATCTTCAGTCCAGGACGCCAGAGGGAAACGTTCCCGCTCCCCATCTCCACCAGAGACGCACGGCGACCAGAAGAGACCACGTCACTGAGAGACCTTCACCCAAGAGACCTGGAGTCGACGTGAGCACAGTGTATATATTGTACATAGTTTATGAATAAAACTGAATAAAGATTATAGCAGCATAAACTGTGGACTGGTTGACCTTCACACAATACAGAAACACAAAAGAAAATGATCAACACATTAAGATAGAAATGATGAACAAACATGCTGCGGGAGAACCAGTGTGCTGTCCTGCTCACAATCTAAAACTTTTAGTTTAAGTTTATTGAATGTTAATCTGAAAAAAATAAAACGCTGAACAGCTTTTATAGAATTCAATAGTTTTCCTCATTAAGGGGAAAGAGAAAAGGCGGCATGTACATATTTTTAAAAATCCATTGGAATGACAAAGATGTGCATGCTCTAATAAGTCATTTTGGCTGTGTTCATATGGTGTCCTTTGGTGGTTTCTATTGCTGTTGTTGTTTACTGTTCAGCTGACTTAAGCAAATAGATTTCTTTAAAATGTAGCTATTAAGGGAAAAAATAATGTATCTTTATATATATATATATACACATGGCCTCACTGTAGGAAGGCTGCTGGTGGGAGTCCCGACTGGGTCAGATGGCATTTCTGTGTGGAGTTTGTTTGTTCTCTCCGTGTTCATCCTCTGGGTGCTCCAAGCCCATGTGCTATGCTGTAGGTGAATGAATAAACTAAATTAGCCATAGTGTGTGTGTGTGTGTGTGTGTGTGTGTGTGTGTGTGTGTGTGTGTGTGTGTAAATGAGGGTGTATGGATATTTCCCAGTACTGGGTTGCAGCTGGAAGGGTATCCGCTGTGTAAAAAATATGCTGGATAAGTTGGCAGTTCATTCCGCTGTGGCGACCCCAGATTAATAAAGGGACTAAGCTAAATGAAAATGAATGAATAAATTGATTGATTGATTTTATTTGACAATTTTAACAAAAATACACAAACAAGTCCAGTTTGACATTCATATCTTAAAAACTGTCGAGGATAAAATACACAATAAAGCCACAGGCTGATTTCCATCGTGGTCATCGATATTCTTAAAAAATGAACGAGCAAATCATAAAGTGCAAACATCATCAGCTCAGAAACTCAGCACAACAAAAATCCTCAACTTCAACCGAAAAACAGCCATTTTTTAATTTCCTCTCTAAAAACTCTCAAATTGAATCTCTTTAAAACTCCTCGGCAGTATATTCCAAGCAACAGTACACAGAAAAGACTTTCTACCTGTTTCACTATTAAATCTACAAGGACAAATACCCCTGCTACTCGCTCTTGTAGAATGACAGTGTACCTCACTAACTAAAACTTAATAATTAAATATTTTAAAATCTTAAACACCATCACCAATTTCAGAAAAGTGACCCTTTTTCCAACTTTTAATAAATTAGTTTGACTATAATATTCATTATTTAAATGTGTCAGTAGAAGTACTTTGATAACAATTCTGCAACTTATTTTGGGCCGTCTGCAATTTATTTTTCATTTTTGTGGAACTACTGCTGTACCAAAAGACTGCAGCATAGTCAAAGTATGACTGCACTAATGCACTAGCCAATATTTGTAAAGTTTGAAAATCTAAGAGCTCTGTCTGTCTTGCTAAAAACTTAATTTTAGAACTTTTGAATGGACTATAACAGCCATCTTCTCACCTGTCAAATTACTGTCTGAAATGGAACCTAAATATTTCCCTTCATGTTTGGGTTCATTAATTTGATGCTCTACTTTTACCTCTGATCTGACACATTTTCTCAGTTTCGCAGCTGAACCATATAAAATAAATTCTGGTTTACACAAGTGTAAGGACAATTTATTAAGGTTAAACCATTAAGAGACTTCCTCAGTTTGTTTACTTTTTTCATTTTCAATAAATTCCTTCCTCTCATGAGACACAATTATTGCTGCATCATCCACAAATAACAAAAGCTTTTTTGAACGGGCCATTTTCAAATCATTGATGTATATTAAAAAAGCAAAGGACCTAAAACACTGCCTTGTGAAACCCCATAAGAAACGGTCGAATAATCTGAAAACACACCATTTAAATCTACTATTTGACATCTGTTTTCAAGGTAAGACTTCATGCATTTACAGGCCAAAACACCAAAACCCATTGCCTTTACTTTTAAAATCAATATCCTGTGATCGACTGTATTGAAAGCTTTTTGCAGGTCTAAGAAAACCATCCCACTTAACTTCCTTTATCCATATCGCTCTTTATATAATTTGTTAAATAAAAGAAACTGTTGAATCAGTGGAATGATTTTTCTAAAACCCGATTGAAACTCTGCAATACGTCACATTTTAAACAATATTTTTCAATCTGCTAATAAATAACTTTTTCCCTCCCTTTTGACAAAGCACTCAAAATTGATACCAGCCTAGAATTATTAACCTCAAACCTACTACCTTTCTTAAAAAGAGGAATAACTCTTGCTTTTTTCAACTTTACCTTGACAAATAGAAAAATTGATAATATGTGTAACCATCGGAGTGACGCATTTAGGGAGTCTTTGAGGGAACTGCACTGGAATATTATCTAACCCTGTTGCTTTACTATTTTTAAGTGTTATTAATTTCTTAAATATATCCCCCTCCTCTATTTTATTAAACAAAACTTTCTAGATTAAAACTGCATTTGGCATAATACTCTATAACTAATTTATCAATAAAAATGCCATTTTGTACTGGAAGCTTTTTAACCGTCAATATCAGGTGGTATTAAAAAAAAATTAACAATGTCATAGTCAGATATAATTAAAACAAACATGATGAAGCCAGTAAATCTGGTTGTGACCTACCCGTGTGTTACTTTTGTTTCTGATGGGGCCAAAAATTATAATGTGCCATTTATGTTTAAAGTAAAATTATTCTCTATATTTATTTTTTAATTTGATATATTTTCAATTAAATTCAATATATTTCTGTCTAAGGCATATTTTTAAAATATAGACATGAAATTGAGATGATTTTTGTATTTTTGTTTACAAATAAACTTTCTGAAGTCTGCTAGTAAACTTTTAATTATTACTTACTATTAATAATGCATATAGTCATCATACATCTCTAAATCTTTATTTCTTCAGTTTTACAGTTAGAAAGACAAATCAAAGTTTAAAAAAAAAATTTAGGTAAAAGTCTGCGTCTCTCTGTGTCGCTCAGGTTGAACTGAAGTGTCTATTCACAGGCACGATCCCACTACTGATCGGCACGGGAGCTTTGACCTGCTCCGTTTCCAACCTGGGCCGGTTCACTCCTCCTTAAACGACCTGGCGGTCCCAAGCTCACCCAGGAGCACCATATCGATACCGAACTTAGTGCGGATACCCGATCGACATAGTCCACTGCAGTCCAGAAACCCTGAGCTCAAGCGATCCGCAGCCTCAGCCTCCCAGTAGCTTGGATTACAGGCGCGCGCCACTGAACCCGGCGAGAGCTGAGAGAATCAGAGCTGTGGAGAATCTGATCATCACAGCGACCTCTAGTGGAGGAAAACTCACTTTTATAGAAGTGAACTAATGCTTTAATAAACTGTGCTAATCATTCACTTACAATAGCATTATAGTTCACTATTATCCAGCAAGTTTTTACGCAGCGGATGCCCTTCCAGCCGCAACACATCTTTGGGAAACATCCACACACACACACACACTCATACACTACGGACAATTTAGTCTACCCAATTCACCTGTACCGCATGTCTTTGGACTGTGGGGGAAACCGGAGCACCCGGAGGAAACCCACGTGAAGGCAGGGGGAAAATGCAAACTCCACACAGAAACTGCGCCACTGCCTCGCCACCTTCAGAAGCCCTGAGCTCAAGCGATCCGCAGCCTCAGCCTCCCAGTAGCTTCCCAGCAAACATTGGTCGGACGACGATGTGCTCTCCCCGGCCAAAAGATGTCGCTCCGCGACGGCATCAACTGTGTACTGATGGTCTGAAAGCGACGTGCTTTCCACAGCCAAAATTCGTCGCGAACGCACGGCACAAATGCACAACATGTGCTAAAATGCATTAATATATGCTTGTATACATTTAAACATGTCTATTTATATTTGGGGTTGCGTGTATTTACGATTTAATGTACATGTAGTTTAATATATACCATGTCCTGATTAAGTCCAAAAATGACGTCCTTTACACGTGCATTTATAGTCCATCATAAACCCTTGCTGAAATTATGAAATATTAAAAAGTATTGCACTTACATCTGGGTATACACTTAATATATGTGTGTCTCAAGTGGGTTCGTGGACAGATTTCAGGCATCTAAACTCATTAAAAACAGATTTATCTTTATGAAATACAGAAATCACTTTTATTTACATCTTGTCAACTGACCAATTACATTCATAAAGTGTCCTGTGCGGTGAAAGGATAGTAACGTCACTGTTTCTAAAACCATAATGCAATTTTATTTATTTTTTGCACCTAACGCTAACAAATCTCGCGATATGACTAACATAATCTCGCGGCCGCGAGATACTAGGGCGCTGTTTTCAAATCTCATTTTCTTCCGGTTTTGTTCAGCACCACGAGAACATGAGGACGCGGCGAAAAGTTGGACAATTATCACAAATCTCCCACCGTGTAAGTACAGTTTGTATTCATTTAATAACATTATTGAGTTTTACTCGAAGAAACTGAAATAAATGATGCACATTGTCAGTAGCGATGTGGCGTTGCTTTGAGTAGGCTAAAATTAGCCGTTATGCTAAAAGTAAGTCGAGTTTGAGCAATATGTCATGTTATCACAGCAATCTGGTGCAGTTTATCAGGGTCTTCCTACACTGGTCCTCAAAGACAGCTGGTCAACATGTTTTCCAGCATCTCTGCCCATCATCCACCTGCTGTGTGTTCAGTCAGAGCTGAAAATGACTATTTTAGGTGAGTTTGGAGTGGAATAGTGTAGAAATAAAACATCTTAATAATGATAATAATGCACGAATTTGTTAGAAAACCTAACAAAAAGCTATACAGTATCATGCTATTGTAGATATGTCTCCAGCATTTACTACAATACCAGTATTAATTTATTTTAGCCTACATTAATAGGCTGTCATTAACAATAAGAGCAAAACTTATGAGCATGTATATGAAAAAGTTATTTACTTAATATTTTACACTAACATAAAATGGTAAATATATGCATGTAGGTGTTATAGCTCATGTGGAGGTTTAACAGGTAAAGTCTAACCACTTTTCTTTTAACTGCTCCTGTAAAATAGTTTTTGTACTGTAAATTAATTAAACTGCATTAAGGTTCAAATTTGTCTTGCAGGGTCAATAACAATCAGTCATCTGTCAGAGAGAATTCAAGACTCTTTCTCCAGGCCGACTGTAAGAATCATATAAGGCTTTGCATTTATTTATTTTCTGTTCATTAAATAATTGAATTATTACCTTTCTCACTGTTGTTTTGTTTGTCTGTAGAATTGTCTCCAGTGCAAATGATCCTCTGTCATCACACTCCCTGAGGACACTCCAGAGTAGGTGAGAAACTTGTTGAATGCTTAAAAGTTTATTTAGGTGTATAATGTGTATGAGTTCACATTTGCAAACCTAGAGCTAGTTTTATACCTATGGTGAGTATTGTGATCTTATTGCATATTCTGATAAACGCTTTAGTAAATAATTGCAACTAGAAAAGTTAACGTCATCATGAGCCTGATGTTAGCTGCTGCTCTGTTACAGTAATTGTCATTGTGGACTGCAGCAGGTCTACATGTTCTGTTAAGAGACTGGATTCTGAGAGCGAGATCCTGTGAAGTGTTTATCAAAGTTAAAAAGAAGAACTGGATCTGTGTAAGTTTTAAATGTGACAGAATGTGTGTCTCTGTCTGTCTGGATCGCTCTGACTGTGATTTTGGTGTCACATTTAGGTTCAGCAACTGTCCGGAGTTGGTGGATGTTCTGTCCGAGCCTGATTAAAAGAGTGATAAACGGGTACATATTTATCTTGCATTGTTTGTGTTTATTTCTGCACAATATTTCAGGAAAATATATTTTACTACCCCAACAATTAACCCAGCATTTTATATAATTAAAACTGTAGATTTCATCTGTCATTCATCATTGTACGTCTCCTTATAGACATGCCTGTTTTAATGTTCAGATGTTTTAAAATGTTTGTACAGACTCAGGCTGTCAAGCAGACTGAAAATATTAAATGATAATTTTAGTGTAAGCCATGAATGACAGTCTTTGCTTGTCACAAAACTGTGGATGTGTGGATATGGGCAGTTGTAAAATGATGAGTAGTAGGGAATATGTATGTATTGACATTAGATACTGCTCTGCACATTGCTGTTCATTCATGAAACATGACAGTAATTCTTGATATGTTGTAAGTTTTTAGTTTTAAGATGATACAAAATCATATTCTCCTTCCTCAGATGCTGTGAAGTGAGTCCAGATGCTACAGACACAGAAAAAGATGCAGCAATGGAGGAACACAGCAAGCACCTTCCAGGAAGAGCTGGAGAATAGTAGAAATAAAGACTCTAAAATAACATTTCACTTGTGTTGTCCATATTTCTGTGTTGTTGTTTTATTTATTCTTATTAGATGTGTCTGTTTAACAGTGATGTACATCTGTTACTATATGCACAATAAATAATTTGCTTAATCGTAACACTATTGCATCCTTAAATAATGTATTACTTATGGTTTACACGTGATTACAATGCTATAAAGACGTTTAGGTATAACTGGACTGAAATTGGACCTGATTGCATTTCACAGCTTTAAATAATAAGTTTGATTATTTTATATGTATAATTAGGCTATTAAAACACTTATTATAAAGAAATAACACGTTTTAAAAGCAACCAGAAAACGTCCAGAACATGACATATTTCGACGTGCAGGGACCGTGTAGAAAAGACGTGCGATTCACGGCCAGAAGACGTAAAAGACGTCGGTTGGATTTTCATTTTGGCACTACTTTTCAACCAGGACGACACGTGACGGAGCGACGTCTTTTCAGCGGTAATCGGACGTCCAAATGTTTGCTGGGTTGGATTACAGGCACGCGCCACTGAACCCGGCGAGAGCTGAGAGAATCAGAGCTGTGGAGAATCTGATCATCACAGCGACCTCTAGTGGAGGTAAACTCACTTTTATAGAAGTGAACTAATGCTTTAATAGACCGGACGCTTTCAAGATGGCTCCTTGATCGCACGCGTTTCGTTGAGCTCCGCAATCCTAACTACTTAAACTGAACTGTTTAACGTTTCGCAAAGTGTATATTAAAAGTTAACTTGAACTGATATTATAGCGATCCGTTACAGACGACAATGGGAGGGTCAGAGAAAAGAAAAAGTGCAGGAAAAAAGGCTGGAAAGACCGAAAAGACAGAACATGCTAACTTGGCTAATCAAAATAGCAGTTCGCCGAGGGCCGAAAAGTTGGATAAAATCCCTTCTAACGCATTGATTACAGACAATTTACATGACTACCTTTAGCAGAATATTAACTCTGAGGAACTTATGCTGGCAGCGGAGGTCGAACTTCCATCTCTTCCAGAAACTCCTTGTGAATCACCAGCCCCTAAACAACGCAGATGTGTGGGAAAAGATACAACGATCATCCTTTCCCAGATTTCGGACCTTTCACGTCTCGTGCAAAATAAGTCAGACACACTTGAGAAGCTGGTGGAAAAAAATTCTCAGATAGTAAATGAAATAAAATCCGAAGTCGGCGTCAATACAAAGCAGATCGCGGAATTAAAGGAAACAATCGAGTTCATCAGTAAGGACGTAAATGCCATGAAAGTTGGCTTAAAAAAAGCTGAAAGGTGTATCGAAGAGCAAGAAAGACGTCTAACGTTGCTAGAAGGCTATTCCCGAAGGTGGAATCTGAGGATTCAAGGGATTCAAGAAAGAAGCGGAGAAGATGTTCGTCTCGAGGTCATTAAAGTATGTCAGCGTCTCCTGCCGCAATTTAAAGAGAAGCTGTCTGATGTCGTAGACGTCGCACACCGTCTTGGCCGTAACAAACCTGGAAGCAGCACTCCTCGAGGTATTATATTTCAATTTACTTCACGCTTTTTTAGGGATGCTGTCTGGCGCGCCGCCAAAGATGCAGACTTTCTAAAGGATAATAAGCTAAGGATCTCCGAGGACCTGTCTCCTGCTGACAGAGAACGAAGACTGAAATTATGGCCCGCTGTCGAAAAAGCTCGTAAGGAAGACAAAAAGGCTCTCTTTGTCGGTGGCCGTGCCTTTGTGGATGGCGTTGAGATCTCGCCCTCATCCTAAATTACAATGGAAAAAGTGGCAACCGCAACTGAAAAAAGAAGCATGCTAATACCCCCTTTCAGTACAAAAGTACTCTCATTTTAATCTTTGTAAAAACTGGAACATAAGACCTGTTTAAATATTTTTTCATTTACACAAGGAACAGTAACGCCTTTCCCGTCTCTCTCTGGATTTAAATTTAAGATACTTTTCTTCCATATTTTTGGTCTATAGACTGAAAAGAAACAGGTACTCAAATTCAGTTTTGTTGATTTGAACTTTCAGAGAAGATGCGATATTTGCTTATTTTTCTTTTAACTTTAAAGGGAGACATTTTCTTTTCATTACTTGAAACGATAACATGAAAGGGATTCAGACTCCAGTCATATTGATTAATGTAATACTTTTATAAAAGAAACAAAACATTTTTTTTTTCTCTCTTTAGATAAAAAAAGAAAATACATTATTTTTGCTTATGTTGGCTAAAGAAGTGGTAGAGACTAAGACTCCTGTTAATTTTTTCTCTTTTACAAATTTTCAGTATAACCAATATAGGTGTTAAAAAGGGATTGCTGTTCTCATCCTGGGATATTATTGCTGCATTTGTGTCACGTTCCGGTAAAGGGAAAAAGGAGCGAGGACCCAAGCGCAGAGTGAAGTAGGATTTATTATTAATAAAATAAAATAAAAGGCAAAAATAAACAACCCAGAGGGGGAAAAACACTACTACAACAAACAATAAATCAAACAAACAAACTTGACTGGGCAGGCAGGACAAGGCAGGACTGGACACAGCAGGACAGGTAAACATCGACAACATATGATGACGAACTCGCACAGGACAGCAGACATAAGGGGTTTATAAACTGTAGGAAATTAACAAAAAAACAGGTGAACATAATTAACTAATAATGGGTTAACAAGGAGGGTGGGACTAGACAATAGACGGGAGAGCGCATGACACAGAGAGACAACACAAGCCATGCGCTCCGATGACACAGGACAAGAACATGCGGCCAGTGAGAGAACTCATCAACCGCATGTTCATGACAAGACGAGCACAACACTGAAGCACACGACAAAAGCACGTGACCACAATGTAAACATCGAGCCACGTGCTTTGACAAAAGACACAAGACACAAGCACACGATAGATAAACACCTTACCGTGCGCTCACACATAAGCAACGCGCATGCTTCATCTCAGCGCCAACCAAAACTGAAACCAACTAGACGGAGGCGCCGAGAATAAAGCAGCGCGATGCTGACAGAACAAACACAAACACTAGTACAAGAGCGCGCGCGTCTGAGGGACGCAGAGCGTGCGCGGCCACATCAAGCGCCAGCGCACACACTCTGCGTACACCCACGACGGCGCGCGCGCACACAGAGACAGAAACAGGACCAGACATGAGTAGTGTCAAAGCTCTGCCACCAAAACAAGAATTTACGAGACCAAAGTGGCAGAACCCTGACAGTTTGCTTAAGATTTGCTATATATTTATATAGGAATCTTCTGGATCTGTTTTATTTTTTTATTTATTTCATATTCACTCTTGTTCTATGTCTTTATCTATTGTTTCTCTTAACTGTAGAGGGTTACGCAATATCACTAAGAGGAAAGCTTTTTTCTTATACTTGAAGCGCTTTAATGCAGATTTTTGTTTTCTACAAGAATGCCACTCTGTTACTGAAGACGCACAATTTTGGAGGTCACAGTGGGGACTAGATCTGTGGTTTTCCCATGGCACTACTAAATCTGCTGGGGTTTGTATTTTAAAGGACAGATTTAAAGGAAAAATCTTAAGATCTAACTGTGATGCTTCTGGGCACTACATTGTACTTGCCGCTGAGATTTTAAATGAAACTTATATTATAGTTAATGTATATGGTTTTAACTTACAAAAAGAAAATAAAGCTCTCTTCAATAGATTAGGCAAGCAGGTGATTCAAATGTTAACCATTTTTCCTAATTCTGCTCTAATCTTTGGTGGTGATTTCAATGTTGTCCTAGATAATAGTTTAGATAGATGGCCTCATCAAACTGGAACTCCTAATTCAGATTATATTATGGCTTTTATAGAACAATTTTCCTTGTTTGATCCATGGAGAAAATCTCATCCAACACAAGAATGTTTTACTTGGAGTAACAAATCTTTATCTTCTCAATCTAGGATTGATTATTGGCTTACTTCCAATGACTTGGATAACATTGTTACTGATATAATACCATCTCCGTTCTCAGATCATGCAGCTATTTCGATTATGATTCCCTTTAGAAACTTTAGTAATTTAACTCAAAAATCTGGTTACTGGAAATTAAATTATTCAGTTCTTAAACATAAGGAAGTTATTACTGGAATAGAAAAAATTATTTTGACTTACTGGAATAAAGCGAAAGTTGAAAAAAAATATTGTAATAATTGGGAACTTCTCAAATTTGAAGCGGGAAATTTTTTTAGGAAATACTGTAGTGAATTGGCAAAAAAGAGAAGAGCTGAAGAAGATAGTATTATTTTAAAAATATCCACTTTATCATCCAAAACAATAGAAGACTTATCAGAATCTGGAAAAGCAGAACTTACTGAACAAGAGATTAAATTATCAGAATTTTACAAACAAAAGGCAGAAGGAGCTTTTATAAGATCTCGAAGGAAATGGCTTGAAGAGGGTGAAATGAGCTCTGCGTATTTCTTTAGACTTGAGAGGCAACAAGCTAAATATAATTATATTGAGAAATTGAGGATTAATGGTAATATTGTGGAGAATGCAAAAATTGTTGCAAACTATTGTTCTGAATTTTACAGTAACTTGTATTCTTCTAAATTTTGTCAACAATCTACTACAGAATTCTTTAAATCGCTACATAACATAAAACAGATTAGTGATGATGAGTTCAATATATGTGAAGCCCCTCTTAGTTTACAAGAAGTTACGGATGCCATTAAATCACTGAAAAGCAACAAGTCTCCTGGAACGGACGGACTCTGCTGAGTTTTATAGAACATTTGAGAAACTTTTAACTCCTTTTTTGCCTGAGGTCTTTAATGAGAGCATAGATAGATTCTTCCTTCCTCCAACCTTATGTCAAGGACTAATAACTTTAATACCAAAACCAAATAAAGATCACTTATTAATTGATAATTGGCGACCAATTACCTTGCTGAACAATGATTATAAAATTATTGCATTAGTTTTATCCAAAAGAGTAAAATGTACTTTGAACAATTTAATTGATGAATGTCAATCTGG